TCTCTTTGAATCTCAGATTCTTTGTCTGAGGTTGGACTAGGTAATTTATAACGTTTAGCTCTAACCATCATTGCTTCTATGTATAAGTAGTATGTACAGCTATATTATTACAGTGATATTCTTACTAGTTTCAAAAATAAATATAAAGATGATATTTTGAAACTTGTTAACAAATCTCTTTACTCTTTCACCCTGGCCAGTTTGGCTCAGCGGTTGAGCGTTGGCCTGTAGACCAGAGAGTCCTGGGTTCAGTTCCCGCTAGGGGCACGTACTACAAAAAAAATAAAACAAAACAAAAAAGCTCTTTACTCTTTCCAGATAGATATTTTCTGTTTGCTCTAAGGCAGTAGTTCTCAACCTGTGAGTCGCAGCCTCTTTGGGGGTCAAACAACCCTTTCACAGGGGTCGCCTAAGACATAACAGTAGCAAAATTGCATTTATGAGGTAGCAACAAAAAAATTTTATGGTTGGGGGTCACCACAACATGAGAAACTGTGTTAAATGGTCACGACATTAGGAAGATTGAGAACCACTGCTCAAAGGCATCCATTTCCTTCATTGGAATATTAGGACTTGTATGAAAATAGAATTCCACTTTCAGCATTCAAAATGAGATTTTTCGGTAAAGAAATATACCAACAAGCCAGGTTGCTAAATTCTATCAGTTACCATCATGATAAGGCCTCAGCCTGTAGCTTTTTCCACATATAGTTCTCTCATAATACAGGAAAGGTGCCCCTCTTGACTATAACATCTGGCTCTGAGGCTAGCTGTTCTGTGATATAAGGGAGAGGTGATGAAGAGGCTTACGGAAATCCCAGCAATTTAGGCACCAGGGGAGTGAAGGGTGCATGACCTAATAACTGTTCTCTCTTGGTTTCATCAGGAATTGTTGGTTCTTATTGCTGACTCGGTGTACCTCAGCTACCACCTGGCCATAAATTCACAAAATGGGGCTGGTCTTTTCCCTAGGCAGATTGTCCCATAATGCTTGTGTCACCTTTACACCTATTTGATTTCACGTTTTTTGGTAATCTCCCTGGGTAGGTAAATTCAGCTTTCTCAGAGAGCACACAGATGCTTCTAGATCCTTTGTATACCACAAGAAGATCAGCTAAGGAGTATCTACTCAAATTCTCTCTCTCTCACCCAAGGATTCTCCGCCACCTCTTTCCATATAATGCACCCATCTATCTAGCCTTACCTCTACTTAATTTTGTTTTTTTTTCCTCTTCTCTATGGTGAGGAACTTAATTCAGTGATACCCTTCTTCTTCCCGACTCTAGTATTATGGATTAGTTTTAGTAGAAAACAAAATAGCTTGCTATAAGTAATTACAGAGATATTTTTTTAAATATCACATACATTACACAAACTAGTGGCCATGACCAGTTCTCCATAAAACTTTATCATGTTATAAAATTATGTTTCAAACACACATAAAAAATAAATCACGGAATTAAAACAAACATAGTGCATTTGGATTTCTGAAATATATGAACTTTTTTCCCAATAACATTTGTTTTTAAAAGGCAGAGCAAGTGAACTAGGTGTTTGCACATCATTAAAGTCAGTTCTTTTTAATTACCGTAACAAAAAATGTAATGTACTAGTTATTATTTTGTAATTGTAGAGACAACTCATTTGTACTATACCACAAATCCCTTTCATTGGACATTCATTGACTCTCTTTATAACACTACTAGACACACTACTAGTAATAATAATAGCTGTCATTTATTCAGCTCTTAATATGGACAAGAGACAATGTAAGACACTCCACTTATATTTTATTTCATTGAATAGCTGGCTCTTGGATGATGCAGAAATATTTCTAAATAATTTGAAAGTTAAGAAAAACAAGCAGAAACTAATAAGATAGTTTACCTAGTGGTCATTTCAGTCAATTAGTGAAACACATACTAATATTGTAAAAAATAACTTTTAAAAATTAAAAACTGTTTCTTAAAATATTTATAATTTGTAGTAAAACTAAATTTAGAGAAATAACTAATAAAGTCATAACACTTTTTTAAAGAAAAGAAGGTCCTTTTGATCCCTCCCTCCATATTTTTTAAATTTTATATTTGTTACAGATGGTTTTCCTTTTTCCCCCACTGACCCTCCTCCCCATACCCCCCAACAGGTCCCCAGCTTTGTTGTCCGAGATCATTGATTATGCTTACATGCATATAAGTTCTGTGGTTTATCTCTTCCCTCCCCCCACCACCCCCTCTTCTGGAGGCTGTCATATGTACCCTACTTCCTCGTCTCTGGCTCTACTCTATTCCTCATACTGTTATGTTCATTATATTCCACAAATAAGTGAGATCATTTGGTATCGGTCTTTTTCTGCTTGGCATGTTTCGCTTAGGATAATACTTTCAGGTCCCTCCATGTCCTTCTTTTTCAAGATTGCTGTGGCAATTTAGGGTCTTTTTGGTTTCCATATAACCTTTTGAAGTATTTCTTCTAGTTCTGTGAAATACATCACTGGTATTTTGATGGGGATTGCATTGAGTCTATAAATTGCTTTGGGTAATATGAACATTTTAATTATGTTAATTATTCCATTCCATGAACAAGGTATGTGCTTCTGCTTTTTTATATCTTCCTCCATTTGTTTTTTTCAATGTCCTGGAGTTTTCTTCAAATAGGTCCTTTACTTCTTTGGTTAACTTTATTCCTAGGTATCTTAATTTTTTTTGCCATGATGGAAAATGGGATTGCTTTTTTCAGTTTCTCTTTCTGTAAGTTCATCAATGGTGTATAAGAATGCCATCGAATTCTTGACATTAATTTTGTATCCTGCAACTTTCCCAAATTCATTATTATGATCTAGTAGATTTTTGATGCAGTCTTTGGGGTTTTTCATGTGTAATATCATGTCATCTGCAAATAATGAGAGTTTCACTTCCTCCTTTCCAATTTGGATCATTTTTATATTTTTTCCTGTCTGATTGCTGTGGCTAAGACTTCCAGTACTATGTTAAAAAGAGTGTCAAAAGTGGGCCTCCCTGTCTTGTTTCTGTTCTTAAGGGATATGATTTTAGTTTTTGCCCATTGAGTATAAGATTGGCTGTAGGTCTTTCATATATTGCCTTTATTATGTCAAGGTATGATCCCTCAATTCCCATATTGCTGAGCGTTTTTATCAGAAATGGATGCTGGATTTTGTCGAATACTTTTTCAGCATCTATTGATATGATTATGTGGATTTTATTCTTTATTTTATTTATGTGGTGTATCATGTTTATTGATTTGTGAATATTGTACCCGCCTTGCATCCCTGGGATGAATCCCACTTGGTCATGGTGAATACCAAGTTTTGATGTATTGCTGAATCCAATTTGCTAGTATTTTATTCAGGATTTTGGCTTCTATGTTCATCAGGTATATTGGCCTGTAGTTTTTTTCTTTGTACTGTCTTTTTTCTGGTTTTGGATTTAGAATTATGCTGTCCTCATCAAACGATTTACGAAGGTTTCCTTCTTCTTAAATTTTTGAAATAGTTTGAGGAGAATGGGTAATAGTTTTTCTTTGAATGTTCAATGAAACACCCTCATGAAGCCATCTGGGCCTGAACTTTTGTTTGCTGGGAGAGTCTTGATTATGTCTTTAATTTCCCTAGTTGTTATTGGTCTGTTCAAGTTTTCTATCACTTCCTGGTTCAATTTTGGGAGACTATATGTTTCTGGAAATTTGTCCATTTTCCTTAGATTGACGAATTTGTTGCCATATAATATAATTGTTCATAGTAGTTATTAACAATTTTTTGTATTTCTGTGGTGTCACTTGTTACTTCTCCCCTTTCATTTTTGATATTGTGTATTTGAGTTCTCTCTCTTTGTTTCTTGGTGAGTCTAGCTATTGGTCCATCAATCTTGTTTATCTTTTCAAAGAACCAGCTCTTTGTTTCATTGATCTTTCGAATTTTTTTTTTTTTTTTTTTGGTCTCCATGTCATTTATTTCCACTCTGACCTTTACTATTTTCTTCCTTCTACTTGCTCTGGAATTTTCTTTTTGTTTGCTTTCTTGTTCTTTAAGTTGTGAGGTTATATAGTCTATTAGAAATTTTTCTTGTATCTTGAGGTAGGCCTGTAGTGCTATGAACTTCACTCTCAAAACTGCTTTTGCTGCATCCCATAGATTTTGTGCTGTTATGTGTTCATTTTCATTGGTTTCTAGGAAGTTTTTAATTTTTCCTTGATCTCCTTGGTAACCCACTCATTGTTTAATAACATGCAATTACCGTCCATGTGTTCCAATGTCTTTGCATGTTCTTGTTGCAATTGATTTCTAGTTTCATGTCATTGTGATCTGAGAATATGCTTGATATGATTTCAATTTTCTTGAACTTGTAGAGACTTAGTTTGTGGCCCATCTTTGAGAAAGTCTCATGTGCACTGGAGAAAAATGGGAATTCTGCAGTTTGGAGGTGTAATTCTCTGTAGATATCTATTAAAACCATTTGGTCTAGTGCCTCATTTAGAGTCTCTGTTTCCTTGCTAATTTTTTGTCTAGAAGATCAATTCAGTGATGTCAGTAGGGTGTTGAAGTCCCCTGCTATGATTGTATTTCTGTTGATATAGTCTTTGAAGTTCTCCAAAAAAATTTTAATATATGTTGGTGCTTCTATATTGGGTACATATATGTATACCAAGGTTATAGCTTCCTATTGGATAGATCCTTTCAATATTATGTAGTGGCCTTCTTTATCTTATGTTATGGCCTTCATTTTAAAATCTATTTTATCAGATATGAGTATTGCTACCCCTGCTTTTTTTTCTTTCTGTTTGCTTGGAAGACTTTTTTGCATCCCTTCACTTTCAACCTATGTAAGTCTTTTATTGTGAGGTGGGTCTCTTGCAAACAACATATATATGAGCCAAGATTTCTGATCCAATCAGCTACTCTGTGTCTTTTTATTGGAGCATTCAATCCATTTACATTTAAAGTGATTGACTTCCACTTGTGCGTGAGGCGAGCAGAGCCGGAGACTAGACCGAAGGCCAAACTTGGGATCTGACAAGATGGCCGGGCTGCCCCGCAGGATTATCAAGGAAACCCAGCGTTTGCTGGCAGAACCAGTTCCCGGCATTAAAGCAGAACCAGATGAGAGCAACGCCCGTTATTTTCATGTGGTCATTGCTGGCCCCCAGAATTCCCCCTTTGAGGGAGGGACTTTTAAACTTGAACTATTCCTTCCAGAAGAATACCCGATGGCAGCATCTAAAGTACGTTTCATGACCAAAATTTATCATTCTAATGTAGACAAGTTGGGAAGAATATGTTTAGATATTTTGAAAGATAAGTGGTCCCCAGCACTGCAGATTCACACAGTTCTGCTATCCATCCAGGCTTTGTTAATTGCTCCCAATCCAGACGATCCATTAGCAAATGACGTAGTGGAGCAGTGGAAGACCGACAAGCCCATGCCATAGAAACAGCCAGAGCATGGACTAGGCTATATGCCATGAATAATATTTAAATCGATCTGATCATCAAGTGTGCATCACTTCTTCTGTTCTGCCAAGACTTATTCCTTTTTGTTTGCATTTAATGGACACAGTCTTAGAAACACTACAGAATAAAAGCCCAGACATCTTCAGTCCTTTGGTGATTAAATGCACATTAGCAAATCTATGTCTTGTCCTGATTCACTGTTATAAAGCATGAGCAGAGGCTAGAAGTACCATCTGGATTGTTGTGAAACGTTTAAAAGCAGTGACCCTTCTCTGCTTTTATTCATTTCCCCCCATCACGGTTTAAATATAAACACTGTGAATGAAGGTAGTCAGGGTTAGCTGCAGGGGTGTGGGTGTTTTTATTATTTTTTTTGAGGGGGGGAAGTAGTTTAATTTTAATTTTATGGGCTCCTTTCCCCCCTTTTATGGTGATCTAACTGCATTGGTTAAAAGCAGCGAACCAGTTCTTTAGAATATGCTGTCTAGCCAAGTCTAACTTTATTTAGACACTGTAGATGGACAAGCTTGATTGTTTGAACCAAAATGGGAACATTAAACAAACATCATGGCCCTCACTAATAACATTGTGACTTTGCTGTCAAATGTAGAATCAATCCTTCCTTCAAGAAAAAGCTTGTGACCATTTTGTATGGCTTATCTGGAAACTTCTGTAAATCTTATGTTTTAGTAAAATATTTTTTGTTATTCTACTTTGCCTTTGTACAGTTTATTTTACTGTGTTTATTTCCTTTTCCCAATGTGACAATTGTATTTAAAAATTAAAACTGATGAAACATTCTGTTTTGGTCTTCACCATCTGACAAGTTGAATGCAAGAGGTGGATTATGCCAGTTTCTTTTCACTGATGCAAATTCATGTTTCGATATCATTAAATGGAGTATTTTTAAGCCGGCCCTGAGCATGCCATGCGTAAATTATCCATATCTAACTTTTTTTTACCTCCTAGAAATTTGAAATAAATATGTATATGTTGTCTGATTAGCTTGATGAGCATTGGTGTCTTGCCACAATGTTTGAAAATTACTGTACATGAGAGCCCCAGCAAGGCAGCAGTGTGACTGACTTTGGGTAGGATTTGTACATGTTGTACCACATCTGTGACAGGCATTTGGGTTATGACCCTTTTCTTAGTTCTTGTCTGAAAACTTGATGTGATCACTGATGTGTATCATTGGGAAACATCTGTCTGATCATCATTTGGGGTTTCTGAGGCATTTATGAGTTTTCCTTATGACCCGATGAGCAATTTTCAAGCTACCAGCTTGCATCATAAGTGTCATCAGAAAGGCTGCTTCATTTGAGAGCATCAAGTCCTCAATTATTCTTATTTTCATCCCTTTAATGTTTGCTATGGGAGCTCCTTTTATTCTTTAATTTGATACTCAGCAATTTTTTTCTGCATTGACAAGAGTCCCTCTGCCCACAAAACCAGTCTTTCCCACCTCTCTCCGTATCTAATTCCTGATTATTTTTAAGTCATAAATGTAGCCAGTCCTAAGTATGCAAATGTTAACCTACGGGTTGGAAACCTTGTCTCTTGCAGTTTCATGGCAATGGATATTGTAGCCCATCTGAATTTCCCCCACCTTCTATCTCGTAACTTGGAGTTTCTTCAGAATGTGGTGTATTTTATTGTGCTCCTATGTAAGATGAAGAATTATCTATTAAAATTACATTTTCAACATAAAAAAGTGATTATTAATATGTACTTATTTATTGCCATTTTTTTAAAATTAATTTTTGTTACAGATGTTTCTCCTTTTCCCCCCACTGATTCCTCCCTCCCCCTCCCTCCCTGCCCTTTCCCCAGATTGTTTTCAATGTCCACTGTTCATGCATACATGCATATAAGTTCTGTGGTTTATCTCTCCCCCACCACCCCCCACTTTAGGGGATTGTCAGTCTGTACCCCACTTCAACATCTCTGGAACTAAACCATTCCTCAGACTGTTATGTTCATTATATTCCACAAAGAGGTGAGATCATATGAAACTTGTCTTTCTCTGTTTGGTTTGGTTCACTTAGGATGATACTTTCAAGGTCCCTCCATGTGGTCTCAAAGGATAAGATATCTTTCTATTGTACAGCTGCGTAGTACTCCATTGTGTATATGTACCACAGCTTTTTTATCCATTCATCTATTGATGGACACTTGGGCTGTTTCCAGATCTTATCTATTGTAAAAAGTGCTGCTATAAACATGGGGGTTCATATATTCTTCTTGATTGGTGTTTCAGGCTTCTTAGGGTATATTCCTAGAAGTGGGATCACTGGGTCAAATGAAAGTTCAATTTTTAAATTTCTTGAGGTAACATCACATTGTTTTCCATAGTGGCTGCATCAGTCTGCACCCCCACCAGCAGTGTACTAAAGTCACCTTTTCTCCACACTCTCACCAACACTTGTTGTTTGATGATTTGTTGATGGCGGCCATTCTGACAGGTGTGAGGTGATACCTCATTGTTGTTTTAATTTCCATCTCTCTGATGATTAGTGATGATGAGCATTTCTTCATATGTTTCGTAGCCATTTGTATGTCCTGTTTGGAGAGGTGTTTATTTAGTTCTTCTGCCCATTTTTTAATTGGGTTCTTTGTCTTTCTTTTGTTGAGCTGTATGAGCACTCTCTATATATTAGAAATTAACTCCTCATCTGATGTATCATTGGCAATTATGCTCTCCCATACAGTGGGTAGCCTTTCCGTTTTGATGATTGTATCTTTCGCTGTGCAGAAGCTTTTGAGTTTGATGTAGTCCCATGTGTTCATTTTCTCCTTCGTTTCTATTGCCTTAGGTGATGTGTCAGTAAAAATTCTGCTGCGTATGATGTCTGAACTTTTGTTGCCCACAGTCTCCTCTAGGATTTTTATGGATTCATGAGTTACATTTAAGTCTTTTATCCATTTTGAGTTTATTCTCATGTAGGGTGTAAGTTGATGGTCTAGTTTCATTTTTCTGCATGTAGCTGTTCAATTTTCCCAACAACATTTATTAAAGAGGCTGTCCTTAATCCACTGTGTGTTCTTGCCACCTTTGTCAAATATTAATCGAGCATATTGTCTTGGGTCCATTTATTGGATCTCTATTCTGTTCCACAGGTCTATATACCTGTTCTTGTGCCATTACCAGGCTGTTTTCATTACAGTGGCTTTGTATTATAACCTGAAAACTGGTATTGTGATCCCTCGAACTTTGTTCTTTATTTTCAAGATTGATGAGGCTATTCGAAGCCCTTTTTGGTTCCATATGAACTTTTGAAGTAATTGTTCTAATTATGTGAAGTATGCTGTTGGTATTTTGATGGGGATCGCGTTGAATCTATAGATTGCTTTGGGTGATATAGACATTTTAATGATGTTAATTCTCCCAATCCATGAAAAGGGTATGTGCTTCCACTTTTTTATATCTTCCTCTATTTCTTTTTTTAATGACCTGCAGTTTTCTGAGAATAGGTTCTTTATTTCTTCGGTTAAGTTTATTCCTAGGTATCTTAATTTTTTTGCCGCAATGGTAAATGAGATTGTTTTCTTAGTTTCTCTTTCTGTCAGTTCATCATTGGTGTATAAGAATGCCATCGATTTCTTGACATTAATTTTGTATCCTGCTACTTTGACAAATTCATTTATTAAGTCTAGTAAAATTTTGATGGAGTCTTTGGGGTTTTCTATATATAGTATCCTGTCATCTGGAAATAATGACAATTTCACTTCCTCCTTTCCAATTTGGATCTTTTTTATTTTTTCTTCCTGTCTCATCGCTGTGGCTAAGACTTCCAGTACTATGTTAAATAGGAGTGGTGAAAGTGAGCATCTTTGCCTTGTTCCTGTTCTTAAGGGAAATGCTTTTAGTTTTTGCCCATTGAATATGAAGTTGGCTGTAGGTCTTTCATATATCGCCTTTATTATGTCTAGATATGATCCCTCTATTCCCACACTGCTGAGCGTTTTTATCAGTAATGGATGCTGGATTTTGTGGAAGGCTTTTTCAGCATCTATTGATATTATCATGTGGTTTTTATTCTTCATTTTATTTATGTGGTGTATCACATTTATGGATTTGCAAATATTGTACCAGCCTTGCATCCCTGGGATGAATCCCACTTGGTCATGGTGAATAATTTTTTTGGTGTATTGTTGGATCCAATTTGCTAGTATTTTATTCAGGATTTTGGCGTCTATGTTCATCAGGGATATTGGCCAGTAGTTTTCTTTCTTTAATGTTTCTTTTTCTGGTTTTGGAATTAGAATTATGCTGGCTTCATAAATCGAGTTTGGAAGTATTCCTTCTTCTTGAATTTTTTGAAATAGTTTGAGGAGAATGGGTATTAGTTCTCCTTTGAATGTTTGGTAAAACTCCACCGTGAAGCCATCTGGGTCTGGGCTTTTGTTTCCTGAGAGAGTCTTGATTACATCTTCAATTTCTTCTGTTGTTATTGGTCTGTTCAAGTTTTCTATCTCTTCCTGATCCAGTTTTGGGAGACTATGTGTTTCTAGAAATTTGTCCATTTTGCTTAGATTGTTGAATTTGTTGCCATACAATTGTTCATAGTAGTTGTTAATGATCTTTTGTATTTCTGTGGTGTCAGGTGTTACCTCTCCTCTTTCATTTCTGATTTTGTGTATTTGGGTTCTCTCTCTTTGTTTCTTGGTGAGTCTAGCTAAGGGTCCATCAATCTTGTTTATCTTTTCGAAAAACCAGCTCTTTGTTTTATTGATCCTTTGAATTGTTTTTTTTGGGTCTCTATGTCATTTATTTCTGCTCTGATCCTTACTATTTCCTTCCTTCTACTTGCTCTGGGGTGTTCTTTTTGTTTGCTTTCCAGTTCTTTAAGTTGTGAGGTTAGATATTCTACTAGAGATTTTTCTTGTTTTTTGAGGTAGGCCTGTAGTGCTATGAACTTCCCTCTCAGAACTGCTTTTGCTGCATCCCATAGATTTTGTGTTGTTGTGTCTTCAT